ACACACACACACACACACACACACACACACACACACACACACACACACACACACGTTTCAAGTTTCTGCTACTCCCTGACAAGGTAAATAAGTTCCTATTTTCTTAATAACACATTTAAAAGTTATTTCAAATGTTATCGAATTTGTTGACGGTAGCATTCCTTTCTAATACAACGTAAAGATGAAACATTCCATTCCTTTAAAATATCATGAATGAAGCCTTATGCTATTTGGCTCTAATCTGGTTTATTAATCTTAATGTTTAATAAGAAATACAAAAGACAAAGGCACAGGAGAAATTGGCTAATAAGAAAGGAAAAGAATAGGAAGTCCTGGATGTGGAAATGCTCACTGCCAATGCAGGTTGGCACATTCTCTAAAACTGGTGGTCTTAGAGAGTTACCTAGAGCACATACGGGTGACTCGTCCAGGATTTCAAAGTCATATTTATCTGGATTCAATTTAAATTTATAAGCATACATTAAACACCTAATATGTCCCAGGCACTGGGAATACGGTAACCAAAAAAATTAGAACAGTCTCTGCTCTCAAAGAGCTTACATTTTCAACTAGTTTGGGTCAGAAATGATCAGGTTTGTTCAGTATTGGGTGGTGGGTATTGGGGAGTTAATAGGTATTTCTCGGAGTGAGGTATAAAGGAAAATAACAGGAACTCTATTATTATGGGGTAAGCAAACTGTTCATCTCACCTCCCAACCAAGTGGCAGAAGCCTGTAGACTGACATTTTAAAACTAAGCCAGGTAAAGTTCTTGAAAACAGAGGAAATAGGAAAAGCACTTGAAAGTAGAGGAAATAGGAAAAAAAATGGTTGCTTCAGAAAAGCAATAGTATGGAATTTTAAGAGTATCTTTTCACTTTCTAAGGATGGTGAACAGTGACTCCTAACCCTGCCTGTTCCACTCAAAACTCCCAAATAAATCAAAGCAAAGCCCAACATTGTATACCAAGGGCTTGTACTTATTAGAACTATAATGGTTATCTAATGAATACCGATGCTGCAGAGAAATTATCATCCTCATTTCCTGGCTAGGATAATGATTAGGAGAAGATGTGGCTAGGGTCACTGCTAGAAGGCACTGTATCTGTACTGCTTTGAACAGGTGGTCCCATGCTGCCTTTTCAGGCAGGCTGTAATTTGACCTGTAAATTGACAGGCTATAAATTTAACAAGAGACAGGACCTTATATTTTTTATTTCAAGTGAAAAAAAAATCCTTTAAGCATTTCTGAGATAAGCCATACTACAAGTGTGATTTTAACTAGAAAGGTCTCAATAGTGCTTTTCCTCTCTAACAACTCCCCCTCCCCAATATAGAAAAAAAAATTCTTCATTTAAATTAAATTCTGTTGGGCAGGTATAGAATTTATTGACTAGGAGAGGCAATTTGCAGAAAAAGAGGTAACCTAAACCTAAATAATGAGCCTTTACAAAGATAACTTTTCTAAGCATCTTGTTTCAGGCTGGGAATTAAATTACACCGGGAATTACTTAATTCCCAATGTAGTTTTCTCAATAGTTCAACTACGCACTCTTTTCATATTTATTTTACGCAGAAATACTCTTACTGATCTTTTTATCTTTCAGAAACATTTTTTGGAATTACTTTTCTTCTGTAAATATAAAAAAAAACCTAGATAAATATTTCAGTTTTCTTTTTTTTCAAAGGTACCAAGGAAGAAAACCTGTATTCTCTGGTTCTTAATGGACATTTTATTTAAAACTGGACTCGATGTCGAAAAGGAAGAAGTAGAAAGTCATGCAAGTCCACCTCAAACGGTGTTCAAATGACATCTGGGCACCTACAAACATAGCCTACAGGTTAATTCCCATTGTAGTTTTCTCAATGCATGGGCATGTCCCAAAACTATTTCAGAAGAAGATGAGGGATTTGGGATGCGGGAGGATGAGGGACTGGGATGCGGGAGGGAGAGAGAAAGAAAGTGAGAGAGAGAAAATTAAAGTTGAAGAATTCTTGCTTCAATTCATGTAAACATGAATTTTTGCAAACTGAAGTAATAAACTTTACTGTTATTACAATAAATGAAAACATCTGATAGTTTTGAAATGAAATGATAGTTTGGAGAAATGTGCTTTTTTATTTCAAATAGTAAAGACTGAGTACTTGGAGAGAAGATTTCTAACACATTCAAGCCAAGTGAAGCATATTTTTATAACTTGGGTGGTTTGGCATTTTCATCTACATAAATACACTTGCATTTTAAAGACTGGGATGAGGATTCTGCTCTGCCCAGGCACACATCAGGAGGCAGACCTATGAAGGCAGTTGTCTAACACACCCACGTGTTGATCAACAGTAGGCTGAATGAGTTGCCACTCCCTACCTCATTAATCCCCATAGAAACCAGAAACACAGTGATCATAAGTGGCTCAGTTACCAGAGCTCTCAATGTATGAACTGATCTGTTCTTCTCACTTAGATGTGTATGGAGAAGAGGATTCCTATGAAAATGTTCTCTGCCTTCACCTTAGGAAAAACAAACTAAAACAAAACTCACCTTCTGTCATAACTGGCTCCGTAGGGAAACTGCTGTCGCTGGCCCATTGCCATGTTGGACATTGCTCCTGTTGGGGCTTGGTTATACATGTCCTGCATCCCACTATTAGGCATCTGTCCTGGTGTCATGAAGGGTTCATTACTTCCAGACACTGAAACATTTTAAAGAAGGAATAATCACTTAAGGAAGGACAGAGAACCAAGCACTGATACAAAACTTTCAAGGTAAACTTCTACTATCTTTAATCCATTATTTTACAGGAAATAATGGCCAGAACCCTACCAGATGAACCATCCTAACAATGGTTACTGATAATCTAGTGCCAAAATAAAGCAATAATCTTGAGAAAGCAGAATAGGGAATTTGGGTTCCATTAAATTTCAAGTTCAAAATGAGTTTTGCGGACTTGGGTATTTAAAGTGTGGAGAGTTCATTTTGTCAGCAGAATCATTCCTTCTCCTATCCTACCCAGGTAGCTAGATACCAAACTATAGGAATCCCTCTGAACTCGAGGCCAGATATCTTAAGGGCTTTGTTAGCTAGTTTCTAAAGTTCCTCGCTGCTTCCAAACTCCCCCCCCCCCCCCCCCCCCCCCCCCCCCCCCCGCCCTCTTGGTTCAAGTGGTGGACGAAGAGATAGGCCAGCTGTAGGAAGGACCTGGCTCCTCACTTTGTTGGTCATCTACATTCCCTTACCCTCTTCCCTAAAATCTGACAATGTGGCAAGGAGTACTGTTTATGGATGCAGATCTTTAGGCCTGAGTACTTGGGTACATGGAGAACCCCAAATGCAAGTACTTCTGAGGCCTGGTTTCAAGACACACAAGTAGCACCCAGTATGGAGATTACCAGCCATACTCAACACCAGAGTTTTTGAGTTTGCAGACTACTGCAAACACCATATACAAATTTCCTGACCTATGAAATATAATGGAAAATGAGAGGTACACCCATAGCCATATTTGCTGTTGTCAACGCACCCTTCTGAAACTCAGTCCTGAGGGAATTAACAAGTAGCACATGCCATTTCAAAATTTAGTATATTCTAAACTAGTGTTTTCACTGAAAGAAGACTGTAGGCTGAGAATCTATTTTTTAAACAGAGAACAGACGGGTATGTAGGTAAGTATGATTTCTGTCACGAGGGTAATTTATTAAAAAGAGAAACCCTTAAAAAATATTCTTCCTAACCTACTAGATTTATCCAGGTACTGACCTTTATGGAATCAGGGTAAAGAAAATAGCTACAAAATTAGAGTAATTCCAATTAATGAAAGAAGAAACAATTGTATTTATAACAGAGAATAGAGTTCCAATTAGGTCAGATATGCAAATTAGCATAGGCCTAGGACCTGAAGGAAATTAGGCCAGACCCAGAAGAAACTAGCCTGTAGGCAATTAAGAATTTTAATAAAAATTTTAATTGACCCACAGTATTAATATTGAGCTTTTTTAGTCTATTGATGGTTATTGTGTCAGAAGTATGGGAAGGCCTGATGAAAATTTTCTAAGTTGGTAACAAAAAAAAAAAAAAAATTGGAAGTGTAGTAAGTCTGAATAATGTATATGATAGAATTAAGCATATTATAATAGTATTTTTCATTATAATATCATATCTCTATAATGTTTTAAGATTTATGAAGTGCTTTCCTATAATAACTCTATTAAATGGTTAATGCTAGTATTATCCCCATTTGACAGCTAGAAACTGATGATGTTAACTGTTTAGCTTCATATAGGTACATTATGCTGCTTCAAGTTAAGTCAATTAGCATTTATTAAGTGTCTCCTATGTGTCAGGTAACCTATGTTAAGCACTGGGAATACAAAGAAAGGCAAACCCCCCCCCCCAAAACCCTATTCTCCAGGATCTCATGGTCTAATGGGGGTGGGGAGACAATATGCACACAACTCTAAACAGGATACATACAGAATATGGGGAGAGATGTAAGATGTTTAAAAACTGGAGCAAGTAGAAGGGGCCAGGACGTGAAAGGCTTTAAAAGCCAAACAGAGGATTTTATAATTGATCCTGGAGTTACCATTGGAGTTTATTGAAAGAGTTTGAGGCAGGATGGAGGTGGGGGTAGAGTGTTGGGGGTGACCTGGTCAGAGCTTTGCTTTAAGATCAATTTGACAGCTGAATGGAGAGAGACTTGAGGCAGGAAGACTCACTAAGCAAGGCTACTACATTAGTCCAGGTGTGAAGTGATGAGGGCACGGAGCAGGGTGGTGGCAGTGTCAGGCAGAAGGGGGTGGATATGAGGGGGTCGACAGGATGGAGGAGAACCAAGGAGAACAGGGTCACAAAAACCTAGCGAGGACATCGTATCAAGGAGAAGAGAGTGATTGACAGTATCAAAGGATATACAGAAGAGGAGAAGGATGTAACTGAGAAAAGGCCTCTGTATTAAACTCCATATAAACAAACTATATACTCTATCAAGTCAGTTTATTTCTCGGGGATCGTTTGTTCATCTCTAAAATGGCGGCCGGGGGTGGGGGGATGTTGGAGTAGTCGGACTCTGAAATTCCTTCTGCCTCTAGACCTGTTAACCTATGAAAATATTTACATATTTATTATCTCACTAAAATCTGATGGTAGGGTAGGCATTATCAACATCATGTTATAGATGGATGAAAACTGAGGTAGAGTGGTTAAGAAACTTGTCTGAGGATACACAGCTAGAGTCAGGAAATCAACACTAAGGACGCAGGGCTCCTAATTTCAGGATCAGGCTTTTTGTATGACAACCTACTGCCTTATTTTTTGCAAGTAAGACAATACAAAAGACTCCATGACTTTTGGTGATAACTGTTTTCACCGAAGCTCAGCAAATTCACTGGTGTACTGGTGTAATAAAATCAGACACAGGGGGGAAGATAGTTTCCATTTCATTTCGGTCAGGGATGCGGTCACGACCCAGCACCTAAATTTCCATTTTTTGGGGGGGGAAGGAGAATGTTATTTTAACTTGGTCCCAATTATTTAAATGCTATAATTTATAGGGAGACAAAAAAAAAAAAAACAGAAAAAAATTAGAGGAAAAGGGTTCATTTAAGTCACTGTGTCACTTAGTTGATGATGGCAACACATTACATACTTAATTCTATATAGTTTTCTCTAGATAGGTTACAGTGTAGGACTGAAAATTTTCATGACTTAAAACCTTGTTAGTAAGGATTTTTCTCTCTAAATAACAAAAAGTGTAGGCTTTGTGAAATAAAAGGAATATTAATAGCCTGTCTGGTCCAGCATAGGTAGATAATTACTTTAGTTTACAATAAACTCCAAACATAGACTCCCAAATGTTGCCTACCTACACTTAGCTACTTCTCTTTCCAAAGTCACAGAATTACAGAATTTAGAGTTGGAATTAGAGTTGGGAGAGACCCCAGGAGCATCTAGCTCTAGTCTAACCTATACCCAAAAGGAGTTTCCACCATCCATTAATTAACAACCATTTATTAAGCACTCACTAGGTGTTACACACTGTGCCAAATGTGAAGACAGAAAGAAAACTGACCCTGGCCTCAAGGTGCTTACAATCTATCTGGGGAGGCCTTCAAGACACTTATGCTGTATTCAAAATATATACAAATACATGGCAATCTGGGGCCTGAGGGACAGAAAAAGGCGGAAGGAATCAGGAAAGGCCCTATGTAGATAGTGGTGGTTGAGCTTAGTTTTGAAAGAAATAGGGATTCTGAGAGGCAGAGGTGAGGAGGGAATCCCATTTCAGGCATGGGGGAAGGCTTGCACCAAGGCATGGTGACAGAAGGTGGCACTTATGAGGAGGCCTAAGAACGTTAATGTGGTTGGACCACAGAATACATGAACTGGAATATGTTATTAGGCTGGAAAGGCATTTTGGAGGCAGAACGTGAAAGTGTTTTTTAAACGCCAAACAGAGGAATCTGTATTTAATCCTCAAGGTAATGGGGAGCTACGGGAATTTATAAAAAGAAATACAACTTTATTTTCACTTTATACAAGAGAGCAGAAGATATATCCCTGTGAAGATGTGATTGTAATTCTGGAAAATCAAATCCAACATTCCTACTGATTTACATTTTGATTTCAGAGATGCTTGATCTTCATTTCTGATTGGTTAGGTAGTGACACCTAAGACTTTAGTACTATGTCAACTTGATATGAAGCAATTCATGATCTGTAAAGGAATATTTAAATGCACTAGGGAAGATCTGATTTAAAGAAGCATGGAAAATGCATTTGAAAAACTAATATCTACTCACTAATTTTTCTGCTTTAAAAAAAAAAAAAAAGGTTTAGATTTTTTAAAAAGCAGGTCATACCTACAGGTAGAAGAGGGCCACAGAAAATGATGATTGAGCTTCTTTTGGAAACATCTTTCTTAGATAGAAGCTAGAAAGGTACAGTGACCTAGATGGCCATGCCTTCTCTAGTGCTTACTATACAGTGGAAATTGATGAATAAACAGTATGTGTTTGTGTATATGTATGTGATAAAAACATATATCATATAAATATTTTATATATGTTTCTGTTGCTCAGTCAATTTCAGTCATGTCCAACTCTCCATGACTCCATTTTAGGGTTTTCTTGGCAAAGATACTGAAGTGTTTTACCATTTCCTTCCCCAGCTCATTTTACAGATGAGGAAACTGAGGCAAACAGGATTAAATGACTTGTCCAGGGTCACACATCTAGTAAGTGTCTGAGGTTGGATCTGAACTCAGGAAGAAGAGTCTCCTTCATTCCAAGCTCAGTGTTCTATCCACTGGGCTACCTAGCTGCCCTATGTGATTAAAAATATACATTATATAAATGTTTTATCTATCCATCTATCCGTGTGTGTATAAAACATCTTATATGTACATGTAACATTTAGGTATTTATTATATCAATATATTTTTATAATTTAACTACAATACAGATGTGTCTATAAAACACTGTGTGTGTGTAAAACACCAGTATATTTCCTTTTGAGATACCTGGTGATAGTGTTTGACAAGAAGATAAAGGACATGACCACAACAATTCAGGTTACATTAAGTATATACCTTTTCTCATTCCACCAAAGGGATCCTTGTTAGGCTCATAGGGCATCCTTCCCATCATGTCTGGAATGTTCATGCCCTGCTGGTATGGTGCATTTGGTGTCATGGAGTTCCGTTTGGGGAATGAGGAATCACTCACATCCGAGAAGGGGTCATGCACGCTGACTGCACTGTTCCTAGACAGAGGGAGGAAATGAAAGTTCAATGACTTGGTAGGAATTACCAACACAAAGCAATGCAACGAACCAGTATACAATGACCTTTGTTTTTAGGTATAGAAAAAAAAAATCCTTCAAAATAGCCTATAGAAATGACTACCATGCAAACTGTTAATTTCTTTCTCTATGGAGGATGCTCCAGGAAAGTTAAGTAATGAGCTATGAACAGCTTCATTATAGACAGCAGTCCAGTAAGGGAAATGACAGAGAGCATTTTGTGCGTCTTAACATACCTGCCACCTGGCATTGGTGTCATCTGTCCATGAGGTGTAGAGGCTGGTGTGGGAGGCTTCAGATCACCTGGAACTTCTGCCATAGAGTTACTACCAGTTGACTGGGGGGTCTGTGGACCTTGTAAGGATCCTGAATTAGCTGACGGTGGCACCAAGATGAAAGGAAAAAAAAAAAGGCGAGAAATTATCCATTGTGACAGAAACCCACAAAAACAAGCAATAAAATGAGTTCATAAGAAGCCTAATGACATTTCAGTACATTTTCAACCTCTAGGATTTGCCATCATTAAAAGCTTAGCCATTTCCCCGTTGAATGTTATATGAAGAAGTAATAGATGCTATTTTAATCTCCAAACAATGAAATGATAACTGGAATGAGGGGGTCTGACTTTGAACTTTTTCCTATTTCCTACAAACTCCCTACAGACTGAAACAAGTGGAAACATGACAGGCCACTAAGTTAAACATCATACATCAATGTGGTTCCATTTAACATGGAGATCCATATTTTACTTTTGGGGAAAATGACTTCAAGGAACTCAGGGTAAGACCATATTGTCAGTCAATGAGAGTTAGGAGCTAAAATGGAAATTGTTATTTTTACTCAGAAATCTTCAGCAGAATTACACATTTATCTCTACTGCACTTAGGACAAAATCTTTTGAGAGGTGTGTGTGTGTGTGTGTGTGTTTGTGTGTGTGTGTGTGTGTGTGAAAAGAAGGGGCCACTAAAGTTTATTCAGTTCCTTCACAGCTGGGGGGAAAAAAAAGATGAGGTGGGAAGATTCCAGCCAATGAATAGAGAAAAGTTTAGTGACTCATTTTCTGTTGTATTTACTATTAAGGGATGACTACTGCAGAGGTATAAATCAATGTTGGGAACAAACACAGAAATATGAAAATGGGGGGGAAAAGCCATTGGTAATGAAAGATGGGGGAACCCTTCATAAATGTGAAGGAATAGGAGCAGAAATACCTTCACCCTTCTAAGACATGGCAGAGAAGAAATCTGCAATTGAAATCATTAGGAGCAAATGGCATCCACAACTCCTTGGAAAGATGGCTTACAAAAGCTGTGTGATTTCAGAATGACCCTTATTTACAACTGTTCAAATTTACAGCTAATAAAAAAAGGGAAAAATTCTTCCTCTTTGCCAGTGTTTTTTTCTCTCCCTCTACGGTCTCTTTTCCCCTTTCAGGAAAGAAAAAAAAAATGAATTCAACCTCTTGAAACTCCATTAATAGAGAAGGCTGGCAGGCTCTCTAGGATATCCCTACCTTTTGCCAGAAGCTACAAATGTATACTCTAAAGTAAACAATGGAAAGGTTATTGAAGGTTAAGTACATTCACATACTTCAGACTGAACAGCCAGACTTCACGCTGGGAAGATAATTTACACAGCATGAACCCAGTGCCCTAGTTCTGACTGGGGTTGGGGAAAGGGGGATGGGGAAAGGGAAGGAGAGCCTGGGATGTCACAGGTCTACAGTGAATGGAGGTCAACCAGAGGCCAGCTTTGTTTATAACCCAGACCCTTTTCTCATTTATCTTCCACTGAGGATTCCCTAGCTGGATCCATGACAGGTTTTGTGACATCACCTGTCAGCTAATAATAGAAATTCAGTCAGCCACCTGCCAGCAAAGATGGATGGGTTTTTGGTTACAGACTTACTAATTGAATGAGTGGCTTCTTTACCCCATCCCTGGCTCCTTCTCCCCAAGCCTGGCTTCACTGCTACCAAGGCAACCTTAGGAGCTAGTCCTTGGCGCTGTTCGTTACAACTTTAGCAAAAACTTTTATATGTTTATTATAATGAGATCCCCATTGGCATCATAAAGACACTACCATATGCCCCTAAAGCCCTTCTTAGGCTTCGTTATCCTTGTCAACTAATTCTACTTATTTGAAAGCAGTAAGCTGAGTCTCACAGTATGAAAAAAACCACCCAGACATTCAGCAGTGGCTACATTGATGCCTTTGGCTTCTGATGTCTGAAAAGATTGGGTCTTTACGGATTTCCAGTGACCAGCAGAATTCAGTTAGAGATCAGTGTAACACACTTCAACTTAAACACAGAAGAAGGTTAGAATATACTTAGAACAGAGTTGGCTGGTTTCTGCATATGTTCAGACGTGACCATTAATTCTTTGCCTAGAATAATGCTTTTTAATTTTTTATTTATTTTTATTTAATGATATTTTAGCTTCATTTGCAACAAATGCTGTACATGTGATAACTATGCATGAGTACATGGGAAAAACTCATGGCTCTCACTCGAAATGAACGAGGGTAAAATGAGCTATACAATGGCTCTAGCATTGGGGAAAAAAACATCACAGAACTTAGGTTGAGACAAGTCCAAAAGGTGGCTAGACAGCACACATTTTACTTTAGCTGAAAATTGACTTCTTTAAGTCATTCTAACATGTGAGATTCTGACCAAGTAAATGTGTTCAGAACACAACTCAATTCCCAGAATGGCAATTAGTTCATTAGTCGACTGACCAATAAATTCCTGAGCAAAGAAAGAAAACTTCGAGGCCTGGGTTCTAGTCCTAGGCTCACCCATCAGCTCGCTGTGCAGTCCCTTGCATAAAGGACTTTCTACCTCTCAGGGGTCCTTGGTTTCTTCCTCCCTAGCATTAGAAGGTTGGATTAGATGAGGACCCAGGTGTCTCATCCTGGGTTAAAATTTCATGACATAAAAATGGCCAGGAGCATCTGTTTATTAAACACTATTACCTAAAACATGTTTCTTGTCTGGGGAAAAAAAAATCATATAAATGAAAGAAGCCAATGGATTTGCTAGCGACACCACCATCATCTAGGGACGACATTCCTCTTTGTTCTGTCAAGCAGTGTCTTGAAAGCAGCACAATTCCCGGCTCAATCCATTTAGCCTGCTTGTGCATTATGTAAGGCGCTTTTTCCTCATGTGTATCGACTTAATGGTTAAGACCAGGAACCTTTATGTCTACTTCCTGTTCCAGAGGGCTTCAGCTCCATTTAGACAACTAAAAGGGATGGATTATCTGAAGTACACCTGCAATCCTAGCTCTTTTGTGGCGTTAAAACGATAATGTTGCCATAAACTGCAGTTTAAAAAAAAAAAGGCAAAGAGAAAGGGCTGACTGTTAAGGGAACCGGCCCTATACTTTCTGAAGCATCTATACCTCAGCGGGATTTCTTGTACTAAAGCTGATGCACACTGGGAAAGCCATTCTCCATACACAAGTGCAGACCATTCAGTGACACAAGTTCTTTCCTGGCAAATAAAACAAACCTTTAGATCTTTGCAGACATCCCCACTTTGGTCCCTATGTCCTGCTGGGTTTTTATTTTGGAAAAAATAGTTTCAGGGCTGTTCATAGGCAGCTTGTTTTAACTCTGTGAACTGAATGTAATGTTGTGGAAAATTTTAAATTAGATTTTGTAGTTTTTAAGGTGTTAGATGATGAATAAAGACTCAAGAGATTCTTAGGGTCGAGTCATAAATATCAAGGGATTCTTACTCCGAATCAAGCATGGCTCTCAAGATCTTCTGGTGGTCCCACTCGAGCTATTACTTTAGTTGTCAAAATGGCAGCCAGAATTATTTGTTTAAAAATAATTAATTGCCTTTTCACCAGGTGATTACTTTTTGCTCTTTTTAAAAAAAATTAATGTTTAAAATAATGCTCAAAAGTTGCAGTGCATGAGAAGAGATATTGGAAAAATATTTCAGACAGTGGGTTGTGACTTCAAAAATGAACAGTCTAAAACCAAATAGAACCCTTTGATAGTAAGAATTGTTTAGAACTGGCCAGGGAGGTGGAACAGGACAAAATTTAGGAGTGACTACCCCCTTTGTACCTGGCACCAATGCAATTTTTTTTTTTTGGGTGAGGCAATCAGGGTTAAGTGACTTGCTCAGGGTCACACAGCTTGTAAGTGTCAAGTGTCTGAGGTGAGATTTGAACTCAGGTCCTCCTGTAATGTAATTCTTAATGGCCAGAAAGTAGTCATGAAAAATGTTAAGACATTTTGTCTGAGACAGTTAAAAAACCTTCTATTAAAGTCGTATTAGATTGGTTGCCAGCTTCTTGCTTTAATTTAATTGATGTAGGCAAAATAAATGGTAAGATCATTGGTTTGATGCAAAGTGGTTTGTTTAAAGCTAAGATGAACCCCCCCCCCAAAAAAAACCCCAAACACTTAATGTCTTGGTTTACTTTTTTTAAAAAACGTGCCTCTTTTAAGGAGGATGTTTTAAGGAAATCCTCTTAATGCTATGCTCCAACTAAAAGATGCTTTCTTATCCAATATCATTTGTCAAAACATGGGACAATAACAGACAACAGAACACAAAGTACTAAGAAAAAGATGGAACTACCTAAAAGAGAAGAGATACCACCACCACTACACTACTACTACTACAGGCTACAAGTGTGTGATTGTCAACTTGTATTATTGTAGTGCCCCTTTTCTAAGCATCTCAAATGACTTCACTTTGATCACAGGTAATAAACTGATGAAATCTTTTATTAACTTAAAAGATAGGTATAATTACCCTTATTTTGCAAATGAGAAAACAGACCCAAGTCAGATCTATGGCAGGGTTAGGAATGATACTCAGAATGTCTAAGACCTAGGTCAAACACTGTGCTACTCAAAAACAAAACCAACAAAACCACAAGAACGATAAAATAGCCTTATGGCATTTCACCAGGGTAGTATACTAAATTCCTTAACATTGCTTCTTTCCTATGTTTTAAAAAATGAAATGTTGCACTGATGGATTTGGAACCATCAGGCTAGGTCCACTTTTTTCAATTTGCCACTAGTCTCCTGCCAAGGAAGACAATGAAAGTGACTTATTTCATAGCTCAGCAGACTTTTTAAGCCATCACAAGGCTGTGGCTTAATTCCCCAGATACTGGAATTCTACAGGTCTTTCCAAAGATAGACAGATGATCCAAAAGAGAAAAGTATTAAAAGCAGGTTAATGAGACCTTGAAGTTAGCAAAATGAGAATCAAGACGCAATCACTTATTTTCTAGAGAAATTTTAAGGGAATACTCAAAAAAATGTGGGAAGGGAGTGAAGGAGTAAGTAAGAGTAAGGAGTAAGAGTTTATTAACCTATTACCACAGAGTCTATTAATCTATTACTCCAGAGCCTGTGGCATCAAACTGTGAACTACTCCCAGATTACAAATTCTTAGGCTCTCTTCACACCACCGGTATCAAAATCAAATAGAAAAGGAGGTGGGGAGGTACTAAACCCCTATATAAGGATCCCTGAGGATAGTATACTGATTGAGAAAACCATCTCTTAACATTATCCATGTTCCACTCTATTTTTATTTATGTTGTTAAATATTTTTCAATTACATTTTAATTTGGTTGGGCCTCACCAGGAATGGTGGGCATTCTAGGCATTTGCTTGACTTCTCTGCTCCATATCATTTCCTCAGGATTTAGATTAAACAGAAAATAAAATAAACTAAAACTACCAAAAAAAATCTCATATTCTAAAATCGAAGAACACAACCTCTAGATCACAACCGATATAATGTGGGAAAATGTACTCATTTCACTTTTTCATCTAGTTTATTGTCATACACACTTGCCAAAAGTAAAGACTTTGTCTTTTGGGAGTATGGCATCTAACACATTCTGGGTGCTCCATTGTGATTCAGTGGTAATCAACCATCCTTGTTTTAATCTTTATTGCTATACAAATGACTGTAGTTCTACTACTTACCAGGAGATGGCGGCTGAATCTTAGCTTGTTTCTTAGTATCTCCAGTGCTGAAGACTTCGGGAGGGGGCTCCTCCCCTCTTTCAATCTTGCACTCAAAGGCAAACAGGTACTGAATATACTGCTTTTTCAGGGAGCTGGCTGCGCTGCTAGAAGTGCCCACATTCAGGTTGGTGGCCAGCTCGCGCCACTTTTTGTTTTTATTAACCTAGGCAAAATAAATGGCAAGATCATTGGTTTGTAGCAAAGTGGCTTGTTTAAAACCAGGAGACCAAAAAAAAGAAAAAAAGAAAGAAAGAAAGAAAGAAAAAAAGGCACTTAACGTCTTGGTTTACTTTTTTTTTTTATTTGCCTCTTTTAACTAATGCTCATTACTCCCACTCAGTAGTGCATAGACAGCATTTACAGTTATAAAACCATTAAGGAACCTGCTGATAGCTACATAAAAAGCTTTGCTTGTTGAGTCTTCTGCCTGGTGCTTCTTCTAATGCTTTGCACTCATCCAAGGCTTGCGCTGCTCCTAGCGAGCAATTTATCTCTGAACAAATGTATGCTCTCACACCCCCGCCCTCTTCTAATTAAAAAAAAAAAGTTCTAAAAACTAATTTAAAAAAGCAATAACACTAGCACTATTCTGCAATTTAAGCGTTTGAGCATTGATATGAAAAAACAGTTTTTCCTCCCAAATAGCCAAGAGCTGCCAGAAGGATGAGCCTGTAATTCCTGGCTCATGTCCTGCCACTTGAGGCTTTCTTGGGGGATTGATCAATGCCTTACTGAAGACAAGATACACCAGGAATTGGGCCCCTTTAGTAAATAACTGTAACTTTAAGACACAGTGACATACCATTTAATGCACTGAGTTGGGCCCTATTAGAACTGTCAGCTTAAGTGTGGTTGGTGGGTACAATTTATGCTTCTGGAGGGAATTGCTACTATACCCCCCCCCCCAATCATGAGGAACCAAGAAATGGTGGGCTTCTTTTAAATTTAGGCCAAAGAGGAATATAATTGCAAGGAAAATCATGATTAAAAAAAGTTTAGGTAATGTTTTAACCTTTTAGGTGCCTCTAGGGAGCAGAGTTGTGAAAGGTTATTCAAATGAATAAATAAAACATGAGGATTTGCAAACAACTTGGAGAATATTTGCCCTTTTGATATACCTGTTATACCCAATAGCATTTGAAGGGTTAAGGAAACAGTTTCTCATAAAATACTAAATTTTAGGATGCAAACCTTGTCACAAAGCTCTTTATATCCATTTACTTAGCTCTAAGTGGTGCATAATGAACAAACTGCATAATGCTCACAGAAATGCTCAATGTCTAAATGCCCAGTATTTTGGCATTTAAACCAAGGCTACAAACAGCAGGCCTGTGGATTGCCTCAGAAATGGTAAACAGAACGCTGCTTGGGACACCCTGAAATGCAAAGCTGTGAACTGATAAATATGCAGCACCTGCTCCCAACCATATCCGATGGCCCACTAGGTAGGGATCATGCCAGGAGGAGGGCAGTGCCAGCCCAGTTCTCCACCACTGTGCCATCCAGCTACATTCAAATAAGCCTCATTAGCTAAGCCAGCAAGGACTCCCCTTTGTAGGTTTAAGTTGGTTATACACACTGTTGAAAGAGCTTGGGTGAGGTGTTTCAACAATTTCTACATTTATTTATGGGCAAAGTCTATTATTTCTCTAGTCTATAGGTATACTTTAGAAGTCTCAAAAGAATGTAGCTGAAGAATTGGGGTGGGGAAATGGAGAAGGGAAAGGGGGTTCCTGAGAGGGCTTTGATATTTTTTTTAAGCTTCCATGACTAAAATGCTACTCTTCATTCCACTTAAACCTAAATGGTAATGATCTGAAGATTTTTAAAACTTCAAATTTTATATTCCTCAATTCAAATACTGATTCCAGGAATTATTTTGAAAACAACCACAAGAAGGGTTTAAAATAGTCATAAAAATGAACAACACAAAAAAATCAGAAAGAAATCTCAGAATCCTAACCTTCATATGTTTATTTTCCTTACCTTGACTTCTACTGAAATCTACTCATGAACATTTTTTTTTTTTGGCCTTTGATGGCCCAATAATCACAGGCTTTACCTAGAGTCTTTATGTAATAGTACCTCAGCGTTCGCTTTCTCTCTCTGAAAAAAAAAAAACCAGTTTCTTCTATTTTTCTGTTTCTATCAATAGTACAAATCATATTCCCTGTCACCCAAGGCTAGAAACCAGGTGTTAGCTTTGATTGATGCCCCTTATTTATGCCCTACATCTAGCAGTGACCAAGTCTTACCAATTAATTCTTCCTTCAAGATGCATTTTGCATACATCTATTCCTCTTCATTTGCCTAGATTACTGTAATACTTGGAGTCCCCCATGTATGACCTCGGGCTCCCTTCAATCTATCCATTATAGTGTGCCAGACTGATCACTCTACTGATTTACAAACAAACAAAAAAAGGGTAGCTAGGTAATGTAGTGGATAGAATCCTTGGAGTCAGGAAGACTCCTCTACCTGAGTTCAAATCTGGTCTCAGACACTTACTAGCTCTGGGACTCTGGACAAGTCAATTTTCTCATTTGTAAAATGAGCCAGAGAAGGAAATGGCAAATCACTTCAGTATCTTTGCCAGAAAACCCCAAATGGGGTCACAAAGAATCAGACATGACTGAAATGACTGAACAACAACTGATTAAAAATCTTCAGTGATTCTCCATTTTCCATCTTATCAAATCTTAACTCCTTTGCCTGCCACAAGCAACTGAATAAGATCTAGCTTGGCCCGTTTTCTCAATGGACTTTTCAAACATTCCTCTACAGACAGGCTGGTCTCCACACTGTCCCACAAAATTACCATGTTCATTTCTCTTTACTCAGGCCACCGTCCTCATTGTTTCATAAGAATGTTACCTTCATTCTCATTTGCACGTCTTTGCAAATTAGCTATATATTGCATACACAGGGTATCCCAAAACTCTTCAGGGCAGTTTAAAGCTTACCATTTGCACTAAGACTTTTGGGATTTTTTTTTTTTAACACAGGTGAACAATGAAGCAGATGGAAAATCACAGAATCTCAGAATTAGAAAGAGGATGAGAAGACCATCTAGTCTAGTTCAGTCTATATCTGTACAGGAGGCCCCTCTATAATGAGGTTAAAAAGTGGTTGTCTGGACTTTACTTGAAAAGTTCTAGTTTTGGAGAAACCCACTATCTTGCTAGTAACTGATGGGTGGCTGGCTCTAATTGCTAGAAAGTTTTCTGTCTTATTATAGCTTCTACCCAATGGCCCTAGTTTTGCTCTCTGGACCTAAGAAGAAAAAGTCTTAATTAACATTTGACATATGATGACCTAGGCTAAGTATTTCAAGTTGTTTCCAATGGTTCTCAGGTGGCATGGTGTCTCTCCTTTGGGCCTGCATGCAAAACTAACCCCAGTACTCTAAATGTAGCCTGACACCTCTTTCTTTTGATACCACGCCTCTTAACAGAACCTAAAATGGCATCAGCTTTGTTGGCATTGTGAATTCATAGTGAAATCTGCAAAGAAACCCAGATCATTTAGAAACAAAATCTCTAGCCCACCCTTAGACTTGTGAAGTTGAATTGTTTTAATTCAAGTGAAAGACTACATAGTTAAATGTTATTTTATTAACATGGAGCCATCTTTCGAGCCTGCTGAAATTTTTGGATCCTGTCATCTGACATATTAGCCACCCATCTCTTCCAGCTTTGTCACCTGATTTGATCAGTGTGCCCCTGAAGCTTCCATCCAAGTCATTCTTTGGATAAAATAACAGGGTACACAAAATCAGAGAGCGTAAACCTCCCTGCCCCCAAGGCACTATCCAAATCAGGACCTAGTCTCTCCTTACCTGTGCCAAGCCTCCAATCTCTTTGACGCAGACATAGAGTCTGAACAGGTCCAGAGGCTTTTTGCCCACTGCTGGCAGACTGGCCACAGGTGAGCCTCGCTCCTCCATGAAGGTCAGGTATCTGTCCACCCACAGCCTGCGCTCCGGCTCATTTCCCAGCTCGTACACTCTTGTAATCTTCTCCCCAGTGGTTGTAGAAGAGCTTGATTTCTAAAGCACAAAGAGTGCATTTGGAGGTGGGGTGAGGGCAGGAGGAGGGAAAAGGGGAGAGTAAGACAAAAGTAAGGAACTCACAACACGTATAAGAAGAAGAAGATATAAAACAGACTACTGCTATCACACAACAGTTAGGAATGAAGGCTACTAGTTCAGGCACAAAAAACATTCTCTTAATTAAGAATTTATTTGACTTTAAAGGGCCCAAACTCCCCTTTTTACAAAATAAACAATTTTATCTCATTAATAGAAAAGCGTTGAATCCCAGAAGGCAAGTTTTTGATAATGCCTCATGTCATTTTTTGAATAAATGGGGAAAAAACCAACATTTACTATCTATGATCTCAAATTATGGTTTACTCCAAATAAAACAAATTTCTGGGCTCCCTTCCTTCTTCCCCTCAACCAAAACAGCATCACTTCACTCAATGGCCTGTTATGATAGGTTATCCCAACTTCTCTAACACACTTAATGCTAGGATCTTCTCTCTGCTGATTATCTACAATTTATCTGTATATATTTTGTCGGTACATAGTTGTTTTTATGTTGTCTTCTCCCATTAGTGTGAGCTCCCCATGGCAAGAACTGTCTTTTACCTTTCTTTGTATTCCCAGAGCCTGGCACATAGGTTTTTTTTTTTTTCTTTTTGGTGAGGCAAAATGACTTGCCCAGGTTCACACATCTAATAAGTGTCAAGTGTCTGAGGCCGAATTTGAATTCAGGTCCTCCTGACTCCAAGGCCAGAGCTTTATCCACTGCGCCACCTAGCTGACCCTCCATAGTAGGTCCTTCATAAATGTTTATTGGTGACCATTGTTGAGATTAGAGTGGCTAAACTCAGGTGTGTGAGGATATGTGTGTGTTCCTTTGTACCAGTATGGGGACGATAAAGCTAATAATGTAGTTTGCAGTGAAAAACAAGTGTAGGGAACAAAACTACAGATATAACTGGGGGCTTCAGAGTCTCAGAGTAGGAATTCTCTGTAGAGGCAAGCTTGAAATTTAGTTGGGTAATGTGGCATAGTGAAAGACTATTGGTTTTGAGAACCAGAAGACCTGAGTTGGAGTCTCAGTTCTTACTGGCTATGTGACCCTGGTCACTTAAATCTTTCTTTCCCCTCTATGGAAGGAAATAATGCTTGCACCACCTACCTTACAGGTTTGTTATGAGGAAAATACTTTGTAAGCCTCAAGATCTTTATAAATGTGCATTGTTATTGTTACAATTTTGCTAATCAATTTCTCTGTTTTAGTATAAAAATTTGTTTCCCCCTAAAAATACCATGTTTTATCAATTGTACATCTAGCAGTACAAGCTGGAATGAAGATTTGGCGCTTCCATTATTACAACAGTAATGCATATCCACTTTGTTCAAATATCTAACTTACACCATGGGTACTTGGTATTCTATGCTATCCAATTGGGAGACTAAAATGTCAGATGTGCATTTTGGGCCAATCTGGTGCCTGCACAAATAGGCTACATAATCTAAACAAGGAAACTGATTGGCTGTATGTTGGTGGTATCTGGCCTGCTACTCCAGATAGCTAACACAAAAAGTTCTTTTGAATTGTTATCGAAGGGTTCTTTGGAAGAGGATTATTGTACGTGACAAAAAAAGATTTAAAAGGTAGCTTACTTAGGAACAGCCACTGTTTTAAAATACATACTTCCTAACACAGTTCTATTATCTTTCAGATTGTTAAACATTTCACTGGAATCTTTTTAGTTTAAGAATATGTTGTCATTTCTCTCTAAAAAACAGAAGTCTAGGGGTAGCTAGATGGTGCAGTGGATAGAGAACTGGCCCTGAAGCCAGGAGGACCTGAGTTCAAATCCAAACTCAGACCAGACACTTGCCACTGGCTGTGTGACCCTGGGCAAGTCACTTAACCCCAACTGCCTCACCAAAAAGCAAAGGAAAAAAAAAAAAGTCAGAAAAAACAGAAGTCTAATAATAGGTGATACCCTGTTTGGAATGATCACACCCCAGTAAAAGGTGGGCTCTGACACAGGAGTCCAAGTATATGCTAAACAGGAAGTTAAACTTTTAAGAAAAGAGGGTGCTTTCATATCCAATTAACTTATTACCTAATTAAGGAGGTTTTTTTTTAAAAATTGCTCAATCAGTAGCATTAGAAATGTTTAAGCATAATGTCATTTAATGAAAAGGTGTTAAATTGTTGAAAATATGGAAAAATAGGGGGTGTAGTATAGGTCAATTAAAATACAATAAATAGATTTGCTTTTACAAATTTTGTCGTTGGTATGAAAATGGGACTGGACTTAAACCTTAGGTAGGCACAACTACTTTAGTTGGAAAAAGCTGTGTGTGTCCCCTGCCCCCTTTTCCTTTCTACTTTGGAGAGTGGTACCTACTTTCAACATTCTCATACTTTTTTTTAGGTCCCAGTTCTAAGTTGGTGTAAATACAAGAGAGCATAAGCCAAGATTAAAACTAAAAATTCATATGGTAAGCATACTGCTTACCCAAAGGCATATTTAAAAAGGTAAAATAAAGTAAATTCCAGATACTAATCCAGTATCACCACAGAAAAGAAATTGGGGCCACTAGATCTTATACAGAGGGACACCTGCAGGCAGCATACTGACTTAGAAAACCACATATTAACATTATCTATGTTCTATCGTATTTTATTTATTTTGGTAATCTTTCCCAATTATATTTCAATCTGCTTCTGGCTGCCCTGAGAATGTTGAAGGCAATAGACTTCTGTTCTAGATCATTCCAAATGAGGGTTTGTTCATTCATAATCTTGATAAAGGATTATAAAAGTGATGAAATGAAAAGGCTGGCTTTTAGCTATGGGCCCCCCAAACAGCTTTACCAATAAACCGCTCATGTGCTCCAATAGTATACTGCTAGTTTAGGACGAGGCTCCTCTAATGTCCAACTAGGGAGTGGCCTGTTTTTTTTTTTTCAGGCAATGATTAGCATCTCATTCCATGGAAAAAGTATGATCCTGACATTAAAGGGATGGGGTCAAGTAATCTAACACAGACAAGCAATTATGAATTTTTAGTTTTAATCTTGGCTCTCCTTACCCCCTACATCAACCTGCCATATAAACTCTGCGCAAATCAAATGTTTTTCTTACGTATGTGATTAGAAAAATGCCACAAAGATGGTGATTTTCATTAGAAAAATGCTGTTGCTTTTGTTTTTTAAAAAGATTTTAATTCTTGCAAAAATATTTTCATAGCATCATTATAAAAATGTCTTTGTACTTTAAAAAGTGAATTTAATTTGGTCTGGAAATCAATGTGAAGTTATGTACATTACTGAAATGCAGGTAAAAATAGAATTAAAAATATTTGGTCTTAATTTATCAGAGTGTATATGAAAGAGTTATGATGATCAGAGAAAAGAAATGGCTGAAGCCTGCAAATAGATAACGTTCTCTAAATAACTATAATGTGTCTGTTGACACCTCTAAGTCTGCTTATTTAACTGACTAGTGATTATACTCATTAAGAATTTAGCACACCAAAAAAGCATTAGTTTGGGGAAGCAAAGAGCAAATCCAAGCCAAAATTTATCAGGTTCAACATGGTGCTAGGATTTTAGTCATGGCATAAATAAAATATATTATACCTCGTTAGGCAGGTAAAGCAAACTAGATTCTTTCCAGGGCGACTGTTAACTTTTTAGGCCATTAAGGTAGCATTTAACCAAATTACTTTTTCAGTGTCCTAAATTGTACCCAAATGCCTTGAAATAGTTAATGTCTGTTGGCAGGGGCCTGATTAAAAAAAGCAAACAAAGAAAACTATTACATTTTCAGGACCTGGTCTGATATGGAGAAGCAAAGCCAGAAGATATTGTAAAACTACAGTAAGATATTATTACAATCTTTTTTTTTTGGTAGTGGAGAGGGAATATAAACATAAATGAAGTCTGCAACACTTTAAACACTTCCTAAAGGTAAACTAACATTTTTGCATTCTCTACCAGACATGTGATCAATTTTTTGGGTGTGTATATATGTATTTGTGTGTATGAATGTAAATTTTTCATTTTTAGAATATGCATTAATTATATAACATTGCATTAAATATCCTGACCCTTGTTAGAGTTTCAGTTCTCTATTTAGATTAAGGGGTGTTGGAAACATGAGATGCTGGACAATGTCTGCAGTTGTAGAACTAATGAATTGCATACATTTGCAATTATTTGATAATAGAGATAATTCTATGAACTTCATTTATAATCTACTCTACTTTGGTACTCGTCTTAAATAAACATCTCATTCAAAAGAGTGGCATTTTGTGAGTGCAGAAAACTCTCTCACCCGGTTTCATTACTGAACACTACTTCTCAGGTCTTTTTATCTACCACTAGGGCAAAGAATTCTCTTATAAATAAAATAAACCTTTATAAATAGTAACAATTTGTGGCATGGGTGTGAATAACACAAGGTAATGTGCTTTGAAAAAGTAAAAAGAAAGCACACTATAAATACAAGACATAGTATTCTTAGACTGCAGGATAAAATTGTGGGTCTTAATTCATTTTCAACCCAGTGTTCTTGTATTGGGATACCATAACTATTAAGTAATAGTACATTAAGCTTACTATGAAGGGAGAGCTGGGAATACATAGATCTAACTATCTATGTATATTCTATTAGCTATTAGGTCTATAAGGCTATCATTATGAACTTCTTGATTTCATACCTTGGGTCAATTTCTTAAAAATAGAGTATAAACTCCATTTGAAAGCTTACAGTTTTACTGATTCTAAAATATTTAAAAAAAAAAAAAAGGACAGGGGAGAAGATGTAAAAACAAAACACAATGTTGGCTGCCTTCTGAGACTCAAAGCAAATAACACAAAGACATCAAAATTAAGGAGGTGCACTCTTTTCCCTTCCTATCAGTTTTCCCTAGAAGGTTTAAAGACCATTTTTTCTCCATTGTTTGGGAGACAAAGCATGTCTCTGTGGACAAGGTGACCAAGAGTGTGGCCATCTCCTTCCTCTAAAAAGGAAAATGCTGGTTATGTTGAAGCTCCATGTGAATGCTATAAACAATTTCTGGAACAATCAATTCCTTTAACCTTCCACTCTGTGTAAATCAGTTAATGAGATAATTAATAGCAGCTTCCATTCTGCCAGAATCTACAGTTAGATTCTTCATCATCTCGAAGTTGTTCTTCGTGAGCTATGCTCTTCATACAAAAATTAGGGTGTTAATTAAGACTTCTTCATAAGGTAATTGCATGTTAAAGTTTTAAGTGCTTTTTATTCTTCATATGAATATAAAATAAAATGTTATAACAGAACTATTATTCTTTCAGAAAGGGCACAAAATTAATTTTTTCTATTGAGAAAAAAGTGTCCTAGACCTATGGCCAAATGAATATTTAAACTAAAAAAAAAATTCCCTTGAACTTACATTAACATTTATGTTCTTTGTATTTCATCTGGCAACCACTGCTTAATTTCAAGGGTATTTGCATTGCTGTGCAGGACACAAATTTTTCTACCTAACCCGACTGTAATGTACGTAAACATTATTCATCTAAAAAGTAGCATTCTAAAAATACACACACATTAACTTTTCCCCAGCCTTTTTTGTTCATTTCAGACAAACGGATTGAAACAATGCACAACTGATATTATGCTAAACTGTGCCCCAAGATTGTAATATCTGCATTTTAAGATAGGGCAATTTGGAAATAAGATGTTTCAGAGGCTGAACTGCCCATAAAAGACTTAGTTCAGATGCCAAGCTTGTGATTTACACCATGGCTGCTATTAGTTCTCCTATAACGGAAGAAACACCTCATTTTAAAAACCTTCTCTAAGTGCACAATGAACCGAACATTTAATGAAGTCACTTGTGTGAAGGAGTTTGGACCCAGTAACAAAAATTGATTCTCCTGATAAACACATTCAGCATGCTTTGTTCAGAGGTGAATCATGAGAAGAATGCTTGCCTCTTACAACAGCAACTTAACTATCAGAATTCAAACTTCTATGACGCACACAAACTTTTTCGTTTATTAACAATATATTATAAGTAAATATAATCCTTTCATGGATAAATACTATAATTTTTTAAAAATTAAACAAACAAACAAGCAAGCATTAAAATAGAATTAATTACCAAAAATCCCCAAAAAACCAAAACAAAAACCAGAGCCACTTACAGGGCTTGATGGAGTCTTTGGCCAGCCTGGGCTGCTAATGCTATCACTTTCATCTCCATGAAATGAGGAGATGCTAGCAGAGCTTGGGGACATTGGGGAAGGGACTGGCAGGTTGCCTGGGGTTGGGGGCTGAGAAATACCCTGAGAGCTGTAGCTATCCTGTGGTAGAGGAATAAAAAAAAAAATATGACAAAGGCAGGGCAAACTTTATTTAAAATAACAAAAAAGTACATCCAGTAAAACAGACTGACCAATTTTTATATATAATATGTATATATAAAGACATATACAGACACAGACACATACACATAAATATATAAAGGTAGTAAAACAACATTCTTAATTAGTATAACTTGGTAAGTTTGCTGGATGCTTGGACAAGGTCCACTAAGCCACCATGCTTACTTCAAGCTAACATGGAATGCTAAGCATGGGTTTCCCCTTATGAAAGAAAGAAAAAAAAAAGCTGTTCACCTTATTTATCAAATAAGGTGGGAAAGCAAAATATTAAGTATGTTGTTGCTGCTGAGACGGCCAAAACAGGAAGCTATAAACTAAAGGCAGAGAAAAATGGCTGCAAGTTTGAAACCAGGCAAGAACCCTTTACCCCCACCCCCAAACCCCCAAGCATTTCTTTCTCTGGTTTACTCCCTATTCCCTCCTCCCCCATGAGTTAAATGCCATAAGAACTAGTAACTTTCAGATCCACACCATGAAAAAAAAAAGTAGAAAACAAATAAGTTGCACACAAATGGAAAAGACATGCGGGAGAGAACGAAATGAAAAGGAAACAAAAAGGGAGAGGCCAGATCCAGAGAAGAAAGGACAACATGGCAGCCTCCTGCTCGGCCAAACCAACACCACGTGCACAAGAGGAAGGAAATACCTTTGACTTGCTCTCAGCCTGAGGAGTGCCTTCTTCTTTACCATCTGTTTTGAGAGGCACAGGCAATTTGGACTCACCAGGTGACATCATATCTGCAAGACCCATAGATGCTAATCGAAAACAGGAGAAAAAGTTTAGAATTATACATATGGTTTGCCAGTGCTGCCTGCTAATGCATGCTGTGAAGTGAAGTCTGGGGCACGCGATTTTCCCCTGAAGAAGTAAAAAATATGTAACCTTGGAAAACATGTATCCTTGAAATGAAAATAGTAACACATTCTTGCAATCCTTTACCAGACAAGAATAAAGTATTGTCTTTGCATGCTAAAGACCAAATTATATCTATCATCATATCATTCTGTCTGTTGTAATCTACCTATCATATCAATATCTATCCATCCATCCATCCATCCATCCATCCATCCATCCATCCATCCATCCATCCATCCATATTTTTCTTTCATAGCCATAACAACAGAAGGAGTAGGCCATAGCTGGTCACAAAACAAATACTAAACTAAGATTTTCTCAAATCTTTTAACTAGTAAAATTGTGGAGAGAATATGAATATTATATACTTGGAGAATGGAACTACCATATAAGGACAACAACTTTGAAAGACTAGAAGACTAATGAACTCTGATCAGCAAAATAATTTGAGGGGACTAATGATGAAATATGCATCCACCTCCTGACAGAGAAGTGACAGACTCAGAGTGAAGTCTGAGACCTATCTTTTGGGACATGACCAATGTGGAAATCTGTTCTGCTTGACCATACATGTTTGTAATGGGTTTTGTTTTTCATTTGTTCTTAATCGGAGGGGAGAGGGGGGTTTAAATGGGATGGAGTAAAAGTGGTTATCTGCTGTTTGAAAAAAATATATAATTTAATAAAATTAACTACTGTAGTATCACATTCCATAATATTTCAACTTCTATATTGTTGCATTGCATAATCTCGGTTACAATTAAGGAACAAACACAAGTGATTTTTTTTTTTAAAGGGAAAAAAAAACCTGATTTTTTGCGAAATGGCTCACAGCCTGATTTGGTACCTTGGCTTACCACTTCCCAAGAGACCAATGACATAGATTCATACTCACACTAAGATAAGGCTCAATATACAGAATACATGTTACAGGCAACCTCTACCAACAACAGGGTCACAGAACTCACTAATATCCATCCGGACTTTTACCACCTCATGGATGGAACTCATTCCCCTCAGAACTGCCTACTATTGACAGAAGATGCAAATACAAACTGCTATTTTTAGGGTAAAATGTGGGTTTATTTTGTTATATTCTTTATAAAGGAAAAAGTGGGACCAAATAGTGAAGCAGTACAAGTGTCTCGGGAATAACAGCTGAATTCTTGTAGCACCTCACTAGGAAAATCAGCTGTGCCAAACTGGGTTGCTACTGGTACTACAGAGGAGACCACCAAACCAGATGTGTGAAAGGGATAATAAGAATGAGGAAGAAAGGAGAATAACAAGAGGAAAGGAGATGTAGGGACGAAATTTATGGCTGAAATCAGGGGGAAAAAAATCCCGACTTACAAAGAAGAAATGAACCTGAGCGTGAACGCACAGGACACATTTCATATTCTATGCAAAAGGCAAGGTTGGCCCTAATCAGGCAGCACACACGCAGTACAATGTGCCGAAAAAGGAAAAGAAAATGAAAAAACAAAATAAAAACAAAAACAAAAACAAAAAAAAAACCAAACCTTAAACTACTTCACAGATTGCCCACTACAAAATGATTATTGCACATATTCATGTATTACTATGTTTTAGAAAATAATTAGTTTTAATTACAGCAGTGAGAGAGTGAGCAGGACTCTGGTGAATAAGCTGGCAAGCTTTCTGGTGCTAATTTGCTAATATCTTTAGCATCACTGCAGGTTGAGATCATAGGTCTGCCAAAAAACCTACCCAGCCACGTGCCATGAGAGTTTACAACGGCATGTTCAATATTCAGCTCTGAGCGGCCTATATTTTCCATGGCTATGCGGGCTGCTTTTTCAAAGCCCATTTGCAGGCCAGTCAGTCCTTAAAGTCATCACAACACACACAAATCATAATTGAGATATTTTTCTTTTTTTTCCCCTCTCCAAATTACTTTCAATACTTAGACTTTAAGAACTGGAACAAAAAGCTTTTTCAAGTGATGCAGCTGCAGAGAAAAATCTATTGGGATCAGCTAAAAATGCTGTTATTTTTGTGAATGTGTGTGAAACCTCAAAAAAGCAGCTGAGTGATATTACACCAAGAAGCCTGGCTGTTCTGAGCAGTGGATCACTTTGGTGCATTTTTATCCTTTGGAAACTATCTCTGGGGGGTCTATTGGGATATGAATTAGTTAAGTCTGTACATTAAAGAAACACCCTTTCTTGTGGGAAGAAGAAGGCAGGGTGACTATGCAGGAGGCGAGGCTTCTATGTGTCCAAGTGTATACTGTAAAAGACAGCCTTGCTACTTATTCACTGAATGGAAATCATAGAAAGGGCAGTAAATTTAATTCCAGACTTTTACAGGGTGGTAAGATCATGGAGGCATTTCCTTCTACAAGTCCATTTTTTCTCAGGTTATAGTTTAATTCTTTCAACATCAACCAATTATAAAATTTGAAACATGGTACTACTTGCCATAAATGGTCTATGTATTAAATTTTATTGACATAATAACAACTTAAATTAGCATAGATTAATTAAAACATCTACTTTAGTCTGAGTTTTCCCAGGTTTTTTTTTTTTTGCCTTTTACTATGCTTATGACAGTAAGTTAACAGGTATCAAAATAGAGGAATATTCCAGTTGCTCCAATTTCTTATTTTGAGAAGGATGAACTAGAATACAGTTTAATTTTGAGTATTGTGCCATAATTAGTACACCTGCCTTGAAATGTAAATTGTATTTTTGTGAAATGGATAGCATGATCTTTCCTTACTGTGGACTGTATAAGTGCTTTCTACTGAAATGCTTATTCGTGACTTCTTACCAGAATTCTCAGTGAATCACTGCAAACATCCTTAAGGTTCCCAGGGTAATGGTACTCCAGGGGAACTGTTTTTCCCCTTTCCCAGAAGAGAAAGACCACCACCATTATAAAGGTGTGTTAAATCAAGGCACCATCCCCCTTATGCTATCGACACAAGTAATCTAGTATGTAAAATGCACGCATAAAAAAGGACAGTAAAAATTTTCTAACTGCAAAAAAGTGCCATATGCATTCAGTGACCGGGTTTCAAGTACCAGCCTCTGGCTTTACCACTGAAATTTAAGAGCTAGAATGATTTCATAAAGAAAGTGTGGGTCAAGGTCCTAAAGTAGTTGTTCCACACTGGATTTAATGTATTCAAAAAGACCATAAAGAATATAAGACATGAGTAAAACTGAAGCTAAACACTCATTCCTTCCCAACTCCCATGACTCCCCCTCAAGGCTACAACAGCATTCCCTTAAGATGGTGCAACAGGCCTGGAAATGCACAGAACATTCTTTTCTTTTCATGGACAATAATACAACATACTATATTCTGCAAAAATATTTTATTCCTTCCTTCTGAAAACACAGAAAGGGCCTGTCTTTGTGCGTATGTGCCTCTCATCTATTTTTATGTGGTAAATATAAAGTCGCATAGTCTAAAGCTAACGTATTGCTTACAAAGAAGCCAGGATAGCCCTGGAGAAAAATTTCTCCCTCACTGGATCAGCAGGCAATGGAAAAAACCTGTCTTCTTTTCTACACTAACACACTCCATGTATCAGCACATTTATGTTCCCTTTGGGGTAAGAGGTTTCATCCCCATGTTTAATCAAGTGGTTTACCTTCGTACTGAAGTTCATTTGTCATCAAGTACCTTTTCTTTCAATTTTTTTTTTTGAGGGGGGTGAGATATCAAACTACTTGGAAATAATCTGGCGACCTCCTTTACAAGAGATACTTGGCGGCCTTAAGATGAAAATCATTATGTATCCTCTCAGAGATTCATATCCTACTGACAGACTTGTTTCTTATTTCAAAGCACATGATAAGCACCAGAAAAGGAGAAGCGTCTCTGGGTGTGCAAAGCTAGTGGTCATGATTGCCTCCTCCATGAGACACCAGAGACATGATGATAGAATGAGCTTGAGTTTTTCTAACAGAGGGTGACTTAAGTCATTCAACATTTTACGTCATGTTTAGATCTGAAAAGAGCTTTGGTAAGTGTTGAGATGCAGTGCATTGAAAGGCATGAGTAAGTGGTTCCATACCAGAAGATGGCTCAGCTACAGAGGCACATGTCTATAGTATGGTTTATTTACTATCTGTAAGTTACCATGATGAAAGCATGCTCTACTTGGTACATATGAGGTGACTTTTGAGCGCCAAGTGCTGAACCACAGATGGGAACTACATTTGTGGAATTCAGATAGAACTTAATTTAAGATGATAGCTTATATTCAGACAAGACTCCAATTAATGAACACTATAAAACTAAATACAAATAAACAGAAACTGATCAATGTAAGTGTTATACAAGGTTGTATATAACAAGGTTCAAAGGACTTGCAATTTTGTCTTGACTATTAACAATTATGTTTTTCCCCTCAAATGGTAAAAATGCCTCCTTTATAGGGGGAAAAATTCCCTACTGCTTACCATACTTCTCCCCCTGGCATTATAAGTGAAGAAATAGTTGTCACATTTGTACTCACACTGACTCTATTTAAATAATTACTTGCTCACTGAAGCCTGTAACAATTTGTCACTACACAAGAGGCTTTTTTTTTTTTTTTTTGCCCTGTACACTATCTGAAGTGCATTAGTTTTAACTGAGCAAAGAGATGGCTGGAGTGTCAGTCCCCTAAGCCACTATCCAGGAAAATCCTATTTCTGGAATTTTGGGTATGCCTTCCTTTCTTTAAATGTGCCCTTTGAAACAGAAACTGCTTTTCTGCTATCACTAACAGCCCATCCCCTTGTGCCTTTGGCAAAAAGACTGATGTACTGATCTCTGCCATTCTGGGACTGGAAGAATTAATCTCTGTCCCCCATTAACAGAATTTATGTTCATTTCTTAATCAAAACTAACATTTGCAACGTTATGTTCCAAGTTTCTTTTTGTCCTTTCTGTTCTCTCTCAGAAATTTCAACACAATCCACATCCAAGAATGTATACAGATACAAAGGAAATGTTAAACACATAATACTCCTGGTACATCTTATAATTACTCTGCTTTCCATCAGGTAGCCTTTTAATTAATAAAGCTGAAACAAAATTGCACCAATGGGCAGGCAAAAAAAATTTGATAAATGTTTAAATTATTAAAAATCCAATATTTCAAGATGCACAATGCAATAAAAAGTGTATGACTATCCCATACAAAAGACTGGGAGGATAAATGGCCTTGCATTGAACAGATTTCCTCTGTATGAAATAACGAATGGCTGAATTATCTGAACAGGAGAAAAAAAAAAACACCCCTCTCTGTGAATCTTCCTTTAAACTGGTTATTCCTCAGGAATACATAAATCTTCTTAGGCAGGGCACTGTGCCATCTGTTTGTTGTGGGTTATTTTTGCGGCTCTGGGGGCCAAAGAAAAAAGGGGGAAAATGACTACTGTTAATAGCGCATCAGAATTTATAGTGCAGTTTCAATGCTCAGAAGTAATTTTATTTCAGCAAGCCAGACAAAACATATAACAACAAAACCCAACTACAACATTACCTGGGACAGCACTAGTAGAGGGAAAAGTAAACCTTTTCCTAAAGGGCCACTGCTCAATAGCTTTTCACTTTCCATCTCAAATGTGAAAGTATGTTTCTGTGACAAACTAATGGCTTCTTGTTCAACATTAAGAAGGGTCTATTTATTTATTTAAAAAAACAAACTCCTAAAACCTAACACTTTTGTTTTGACCAATTGGTTCCATTCTTTCATTCCTACTAAGAGCAAACGTTTAAAGAAGAAATCACTCAGCAATACTACATTTAAACTAGACCCTTGAAAACTAGAGCTCAAAACTTTAAATGAGATACATCATGTTGGGAATTCATTGTCCATCTCTCCCTTATTGTGAGGCTAACGGTAAAGGCCCGGAAGGCAAAGATGTGAAAGAATGTGAATTCCAAGAGACCTCAACCTTTAATTCCACCGTGTTTTTCTTTGACCTATTACAAAGCACAGTGAAGTTAACAACAGCAGGTTAAGTTACAATCTGTCACCTAAAAGGAGAATAATTCCATCTACCAATGTGATCTTTCAAAGTACAAAATATAATTCATAGTTGAAATGTAGTGAACTTTCATGTCTAGAATAGAAACGTTCTTCATCCATAGATAGTAAGCATGGGGTGGCTGAAGGAGTGGTTTTAGAACTTCACATGTATTAAGATTTTGTAGAGTTTTTGCTAAACAGCTCAGAAACTCTGCATTTCACCTGACTGAAAGAATTTGTCTTCTTCTATTAATGGGATGTGACCTTGTTAGATTTCAGCAGTTAGAAATTCAAATGGGTTGAATTGAGAATAAAAAAATATATAATTTAAAAAATATTACATATAATTTTTTCAATAGTAGAATAGAAATAGTATTGAAGACTCCGCCTTTTTGTTTAAAAGGTGCTTTTTCAAGTTTAAAAAAATTTCCCCCCTTTTTGACCTTTCACAATAATTCTTTAGAAACTGAATTTTTAAATGTATTTCTCCTACATGACATACAGCATAAGCAAGGGTCTTATTATGGAGTCCACCATAAGTTTCTGCAACAACTTTAATTTTGACAAATAAAAAGAGAACTTAGAAAGAAATTATCCACTTAGTTCCTGATGTACTGTCCTAGCTAAAAGACATGAATATGCTTTACCAATAAAAACAAAATGAACAAGTAATTTATGAAACATTAGTTAAATATTGGACCCCCTAGTTTTAAGGACGTAAAGAGGTTCTGTTTGCTACCCAGATATATGTTCATTGTTCAGATTTCCAGAAAGCAGAAATGCAGGATTTTCTTCAAGTCATCAAAATATTCAATGTCTTTTTTATACGTGTTGGTGAAACCTAGAAAGATTTTTTTTTAAAAGATCAGGAGTTTCCTGAAGAGGTGTACTGCTTTCAATAATCATACGTACTGTTTCACATTATTACCTGTTGAACTATTCACCATGTTGGGGGTCATGCTGTAAGGAGGGGCTTGTGGGTTCATCAGGCTGGAACTGTTGTTCATGGGCTGGCTGTAAGGAGAGCTGGAGCCCATAAGTCCACTTTGATTCATGCCAGGAAAACTGCCTTGCCTATGAAAGAGAAAGCACAGACACAGGCATGTTGACAACACCTGCCTTATCAAACACAAGAGAAGCTTAACATTGTGATTATCCATGATAATTCACCTGCTGCAGAAGCAAGAGCAGTCATTTTTACCTCTACTTTTTTGCAGTAGCGATGGTGAAGAAGGGGTTGGTGAGAGGAAATCTACGGGTAATTATTAAGTTTTATAAAGTATTAATAATTTTAAATGAGATTTCTTCACACAGGTGATATAAAGAGACAAGTTTTAAGAAAGAATATGGTTCTCAGAGTCAGAAATCCTGAATTCAAATCCAGGTTTCAAAATGTACTAGCTACGTACCTCTGGGTAGATCACTTAATCTCTACATATTTGTTTCCTTATTTATAAAATGAAGATAACATTACTTGCATTAATATCTACTTTACAAGGTTTTTCAGGATAATACTTATTAAATTTTTAAGTGTCAGTCATTAAGTGTTTCAGGATGTTCAGAACTAGAAAGAATGGACAGGAGACAAATAAGGGAAGGGGAGATGCAAAATCTCAAGAAAAATGTCGGAAGCAAAACAAAGTTCTATTACAAACCAAGACAAACCCATCTGATTCCTGATTACAAATACTGAGTAGCCTCTTGAAAGCCCTGCCCCGCCTCAGAAAGAAAAAAAGGAGTTATTTTGAGAAATTAATTTATTTGACCTTGCCATGTGCTTACTTGCCATAATGTTTCCAGATTTTCAGATGTAACACACAAGGACATTTATTTACAAAATCACTTTTTTCTTTTAAAAAATGTAATTCTGATGATTTAACACTTAAAAAATGATATAGTAAAAGAACTTGATTTTCAGCATTTTTTGAGCAGAATTATGAGTGGTATAGTTTAGGAAATGGTTTCTTCTACTTTTTTTTTGGTCACTCTATAAATTTCTCCTAAAGAGCAGTCCAATATTGTCTAAAGTTTCTCCCATCACCTAGACCCCCTAAAAAAGTTATTTTGTTCTTTGCTCTGTTGAAGACAAGCTTCTCTTCCCTGTGAAAAAAGCAAAGGGTATTCTTTGATATGAAGGAGACACCATCATAGTGTCATTTCTCTGACTGCTTATAATGAGATGGGGGGGGGGGGAAGGAATTTAAATTGCACAGTGGTACAACTCCCTCAGGAAAAATTACAAAGCCAAAAGAAAGACCATGGCCATGTGGCAACAACTTTAAAAGCTTCTAGCATAAGAGTCAAGCTTTCTTATGTAAATATTGTATCTTTAAAAAAAAAAAAACTTTTCAAATTTTGGATAGGGCTGTTTTATCTCATGAATAGAGTTGATGTGACAAATCTTCAGAAATTAAAGCACAAAAATGAAAGATGAGGATGGCAATCGGTGTCTCTTTCTATGTAAGCAAACAATTTAAAAAATGCTATCGATAGCCATCAGGATAAACTAAGTTTTAAAAGCCAGTGTCTGCAACTTTAATGCCTGCATTTAATTTCAGCTGAAGCATTAACGTTTCTAGATTGCAATAAAAGTTAAAGTGATGTAGACCATTTGTTGCATAAAAAAAAAAAAAAAAATCCAATGACAATGAGTGAAATTTTGGAAAATTGAGGGTTTTGCTATGTGTTTTTAAATTTACGATTTTTGCAAACCTTTCAAATTTATTTTCTTTTTCAAAGTATTGTAAAAATCAGTCTTTCACCAACTACTGCTTAGTGATGACCAAAGAATGATGTTAGGGGGCTGAGAGGGTGGCCAGGGAGGGGTTTGGGAAGAAATGAGTCAGTCTTCTTTCCCTCTCTATTCCATTGATAAGCTTCTTTGATTAAAGACTGCCTGACTGTGACAAACTGTGCTGAATCAGTGGAATAATACAAAGTATAGTCCATTAGGAACTGAGCTGAGATCACCACACTCATTCTGATTAACCTCCAGGTCACTAAACACTTATAAATATGTTTCACAGCAGCTGCTAAACACTTCTATACGCTTAAGGTCAGAGCATCATCGTGCCGGTTTTTGGAGTTAACTCAAAAATATTTGGTCTGCTTCTTTGATGTTTTTATTCAAAGAAGGTTGATACCTTTAAGCAGCTGTCATAAAATAAGACAAATGGTATGCTTGAGGATTTACCTCCTGTTTTTCTTAGGGAAATGAATAGTGTACATGCAGTCCTCAATTTAGGAATGGGGTGTGTTCCAAAAGTTCATTTGTAAATTAGTTGTCGGAACTTGGGACACATTTCCCTTACAAAGATAATGCCATAAATAAGGGTTATGTTCCCTGGCTAGCCTGTAAAATTCTTTTGAATCCATAAAGTAATTGAATTATGTTGTTAATAGTAGCCCCAAGCACTGAGCTTTCCAAGGAAGGGGCTGGATTCTGATGAAGGCTGTAACATCAGCAGCTCCAGAGGGGGGACGGGGGTGGGAACAGGGTGAGGACAGGTACTGCAGTGGAAAAGGAGACCTCTAAGGTAGATCCCTCACTTTAAAATGGAGGATAAGTCATTTTAACTCCTCCAGGCCTCAGTTTCCTTATTTATTAAAATGCTTGCTGATTTTAGTGAGTGTTGGTAAATACTAAACAACAAATACTAAAGAACAAGAAACTGGGAGTTAATACACCTGTGTTTATATCCCGGTTCCCATCGCTAAAAACAGAACCCCCTTGAAAGTAATTCCCTTAATCTTTCTATACCTTAGTTTCTTTATCTGTAAAATGGGTATATAACCTATCTCAAATGGTTACTGTGAGGAGCAAATTATATAAACATATGTAAAATTATATAACATAAACATGTAATATAAATTATTTATCTAGCTAAGAGTCAATTATATATTTATAGATGTTATATGCATGTTTGCATACATATGACATCTATAAATACACATAGAACATATATCTATAATATCTATATCTATATATTAAAAAATATCTGTAAGTATCTATTTATCTATCTAAAATACAGTGTTTAAGGCAATCTGGATGGTAAGTTATTAGGATAAAATTTCTGCCCTTAGGAAGGTTGCTCTCCTAGCATTTTCCAGGACAATTTCCATGTCACTATACTCTGCTGCTCCTATTTCCAGGGCATGGGCTAGGTGGGGGCCACCATTTTAATTGGGAAGGTCACCACTTGTCTACCCCAGTGGAGTGTGTGAATTTTCCTATGTTGAAGTCATCTAAAGATGGAAGCTAGAGTATATCTACTAATAAGGTCCTTCAATCACCAGCATTACAAAGAAAGGAAGCTGCCTACAAGATCATTTAGCATGTTAAATAAAACAGGCAGGATCTGGTGTTACTATGTATGTTGTCTAGGTGGGCATTTCATATATAGATCTGTTCACTGCTAAAAGGAATTAATCCCTCTTCCAGTTTATTCCATATTTAATAAATCTCATTGCATGACTGAACTTTGGCTTATACTTCATTTGATCATCTCCCGAAGTCGAATAGCCTTCTCACAAGGCTCAACTCTTAACGCCTCTTTTCCGTTTCAAATACCACAGTACACTACAAGCCAGACTCCTCTGGATATCCTCTCATTCTTTTGCTTTTTTACTTTGTTATTGAAGCATTTCATTAGGATTTACAACTTAATAAAAGGAGGGGAAGGTGGAAGAGAAGAGAGGAAAAAAGAGTCTTAATCACCCTGAGACAAGAGAATAAATTTATGCCACCACATTATCCAGTGCATGGTCAGTCCTAATTTTTTTTTTTTTGTTAACTGCTGACACTTATTCTCCTACTAAATGATATTAAAAATCCATTATGCTTATTAAGTCCAGTTTTCCCATTATAGTCATTTAACATAATTTGATCTTTTTTAAGTAAAGAAATGCCAGGATAAAAGAAGAATTTTTAGAGCTATTAAACTAGATACAAAATTAATAAAAGAAAAAATTTTTGGTAGTCTGTGATGTGTACCAGTTATGGACTGCAGCTAGCATTAGCTGAAGGCTACAGTCATATGAAGGCCTTGCTCCCCTCAGTGACCTTCAGCTGGGTCATCCCCTAGAAATGGGAGACAACAGTATATAATGGCAAAGAAACTGGGTACTCCTTGCTCTGTGTGTGTGTGTGTGTGTTTCCATATCCTTTTCAAGAATAGGATAAGGGACATGGTGGTAGGCAAGTAATGAGGAGTGAAAGCAAAATTATTTATTAGATCCTTGTCAACCTTTTTTCAAGAATGAGGTTTATCCCTTCGGTTTGGACAATTCTTAGGAATGTAGGAGGTCCTGAGAAAAGTATATGTCACTAACCCCCAATGATTCCTGTGGGTCAATCACAGATGAAAACGGAGATTGACTACTATCACTAAATGTGTGCTCATAAATATAGCTTTCAAGGAGTTTGCCAAAAAATCATCGGCGAACGTGAAGAAGCAAGAGAGGGCACAATGGAAGACAACAAACGACAACCATAATATAGCACAAACTGCTGAGTTTCAGAAATTGGGAGCAAATTATTTTATGGAAGGGAACATGACATCTGTGAACAACTGAGCACTTCAGGGCCTTACTGATCATTGCTGCAATGGGTGATTTATGCGACTCAAGATGAAAAGCTTCTATTCATTCTAACTTCAGAAGGCTGCTAACTTGACTTTATTATACATTAGCTACTTTACAGATGTGATTTTCATCTGTGGGGTAGACCAAAATCTCCAACTATAGCAACAAACAAAATCCTGCAAATGAATACAAGAAAGCCCAATAAATGACAGTTAATTTTCTCATTAGGGATCAAAGAATCTGAGGTAAAAGTGGGAGGGGGCGGGAGAGAGGGGAAAAAGAGCAAAACAAACACCTGTCCCCCCAAAATTAAAAACCCAACCAACCAATCAAAAAAGGACCTCTCCCAAAACAAAACACGCTCTTTCAAAAACAGTATATGTCGTAGCTTGACCCTTTGGGTTGTGAACATTAGGTTTTCATTTCCAGTGGGTCTTTAGGCCTATATGGTTTCTGTAATAAATTACTGCTGCCCGGATTCTCTGGAACCT